ATTCCACAAGCATTGCCTTCTTATTTTACTTCTTTTAGCTGTTTAACTTTGTAAGATGCAAAGAGGTTGGATCAAGTTTAAATGACTGTGCTGCCCCTTTCACATCAAAGAACTACTGACAACGAAGGCCGCGCCTGCCTCTCCCATCTGTCTATCTGGCTGGCAGGGAAGGAAAGAACTTGCATGTTGGTGAAGGAAGAAGAAGTGGTGTGGAAGAAGTGGGGGTGGGACGACAGTGAAATCTAGAGTAAAACCAAGCTGGCCCAAGGTGTCCTGTAGGCTGTAATGCAGTTTAATCAGAGTGCCATTTTTTTGTTGTTCAAATGATTTTAATTATCGGAATGCACAATTTTTTTAATATGCAAATAAAAAGTTTAAAAACTTAAACAAAACAAAAAAAAAATAAAATTTCCCGGTCAAACAAATGAGAATACCACCCAGCTGTTCTATTAGACAGTTGATGAGGTGACAATTGAAGGGTGAGGATTCTTGCCACACTTAGCTGACCCCTTTCTCTTTCCCTGGCTGCAGCTGGTTAGTATACAGTGCGCAGAGCACTGCCATTAGAGAGAGATAAAAACAATGAGAGGCTTTACACATGGGAAGAAAGGTATTCTTAGCCTCAATATGGCCCAGTTCCCAGGATGTGGGGAAAAGATAACCTCTGGACTCTTTGCCAAGGTGAGGCTCCAGTTAGAGAGCAGGCCTCTGGTTGCAGCCATGGTGGACTCTCAGGCCAACCGAGGAAGAACTGGCCTGGCAGCAGGTGACCCAATGGGCAGATGTTGAAAAACCTTGTTTGCCAACTACCATCTATCTGTGCTCAGCCACAGGGTCCTATATCTGCAAAAGTGACTGAATGGTCACTTTCTAAGTGACTATTCATAGAATTGCTCCTTTATTTTTATTTCTTTATTTTTTGAGATGGACTCTCGCCCTGTAGCCCAGGCTAGAATGCAGTGGCGTGATCTCAGCTCACTGCAACCTCCACCTACCAGGCTCAAACAAGCCTCCCACCTCTGCCTCCAGAGTAGCTGGGACTACAGACACCTATCATCATGCTTGGCTAATTTTTGTATTTTTAGTAGAGATGGAGTTTCACCATGTTGGCCAGGTTAGTCTCAAACTGCTGACCTCAAGTGATCTGCCTGCCTTGGCCTCCCAGAGAGCTAGGATTACAGGCATAAGTAACCACCCCTGGCCAGAATTGCTCCTTTATAAAGCCTTGAGTAAATGTCAAAAAACGGGGGGCAGGGGGGGCGATTCCATGATTCACCAGATAACCCGTATAAATGCATACCATCTAACTAAAAATACGCATTTTTAAGCCAGTTAATCTTCATGGCCTTCAATTTGCTATCCGTGGACCTGTACTGTGTTTCAGAAGGCTGTATCTTGGATACAGTGACCTTCTGCACATCAGTGAAAGGACTGAAACTTGAAGAAGGAAAATTGGGATCCATGTCTACTTTGTTTCCCACATGTTATTCTGTTACCTCAAGTATCTGACTCCATTGTAATTCATTGCTTCTTGTCTGTTTCTTTCCCTAGGTTATGAGATGGTCCACAGAGAACTGAGTAAGAACAATGGTATACTTTATTAACTAAAATGATCACATCTTGCTTTATTATTTATTTGTTTTTTTTTTTTTTAACTATCCTAGAACAGATAATGCATTGTAGTTTGTTGCCTCGGGAAAGATTTCATTCTGCTTATGTGACACAGAGAGAAGCTGGCTTAAACTTCCCTTGGATCCTTCCTATACTTGGCTTTGTGCTAAAGAGTCACACAGTTGTGGGAATCTTGCAAGCATAATTTCAATTTCTACTTTCAGATCAGAATCAAGGAAGGATTAGAAAGGAGTCCATTTCAAAATGTATAGACCACTTCAGAAATACTTATTCTATCCTACCTGTTCTGAATGTATTAAATTTATTAAAAACTTCTAAGTACCCTGCCAAATTTTTTCAATATTATAATCAAATGTACTTAGTTATTGGTGTCTCCGCAACCACTGAAAATGCCATGCAATTATAAACAGAATATGTTTTCTCATTTGAAATGGCAAAGCCCCAGAGGTTCTAATAGCCACCCTCTTACAGATACATTATTCATTGTAAACTAGCTTTCTAGAATCCTAGATTATGGAGAACTAAGTATCTTCTCTATTTTAAACCACGTGCATGTTAATGTATATAATGAGCATTTCAAACAATCTTTTTGCTCCTGGTCAACTTTTTATTTTTATTTTTTTAATAATAAAGGCAGCCGGGCATGGAGGGTTACGCCTATTATCCCAGCACTTTGGGAGGCCAAGGAGGGTGGATCAACTGAGGTCAGTAGTTCGAGACCAGCCTGGCCAATATGGCGAAACCCCATCTCTACTAAAAATACAAAAATTAGCTGGGTGTGGTGGCACACGCCTGTAATCCCAGCTACTCGGGAGGCAGAGGCATGAGAGTCGCTTGAACCTGGGAGGTGGAGGCTGCAGCGAGCCGAGATTGCCCCACTGCACTCCAGCCAGGGTGACAGAGTAAGACTCCATCTCAAAATAATAATAATAACAATAATAATAATAATAATAATAATGATATAGGCACTGAACATTTTGGAAAAAACTTAAGAAATAAGAAAAACAACAAGTTAGGGAAGTTTAACTGACAAAGCATTTAACACAATTCATTATAAGATGAATGACAAACAAGTAAAATGGAAGATGAATAAGAGATTTATTTAGTGCATCAACTGTTAAAATGCAGGTCTTTATGGCTTATGCTTCCGTATAGATGCTAGGCCCCAAAGGGAGGTCTATTTCCCAAATAAAAACATGAAAAACACCACTCATCAACTGCAGGGAATACTTTTGAGATTAGATGCTAGGCATTGCACAAATGGAAGCTTTCCAAAAGACAACATACAGAATGACATGTTGGGAGGGGGTTCAGGAGGTCACCCAGATCAGTCATCCTTTGTTACAATTTTTAGGGAAGGATATTCCAAAACCGGTCTGACGTTTACGTGCCCAAAGACCATGAGAAATCTTAAAATTTTGTCACACAATGAATATAGAGAAAAGTTTTTAAAAAGTCCACAACAAAGTAGATACAATTGTATAGAAACATCTAGATCATAGAGCTCCCCAGATCAAGCCCCCTCTGTTAACCCCACCACCCCGTGTTTTCTCATTATGTTTAGACTGAAATTAAAATCCTGCAAGATCCTGTATGAATTAGCGCCTGACTCCTCTGACATCAGCGTCTTCCACTTTCTCCCAGTGTCCCAGTTTCCTCTGTTTCAAATACTGTGCGGTAGCAATAATGTATCTCTTGTTCATCACTGCACATCTACAAAATATCTTCACAGCAACACCTACATTGGTATTTGATTGGATATACCTCATGTTTTAACTGTTTGATAAATATTTCTACAAATTTACAAAGGATTAAAAAGTTATATATATATTTGAGTGGATATATATGTATATAATTATTGTAACAGTGATGTTTTATGTGCTTCAAAGTTCCTTTATATGTTTTTTTCCCTTTCAGTTCTATCTTGTTTCCTAGTTTCTTGAAACTCCCACATTCTTGATATTAGATTACTAGAACACTAGCAGCGGATAGAAGTCATTGACAAAATAGATGAATCACTCAATATGGCTTGGTACTGGCACTGAAAAAATAGATTGACACAGCAGTAGAAGGGAAGAATGTGTTTATTGCTGTCAGAAAATACCTGGAAATATCAGTTTCTCCAGTCAGAGAAGTCAGACTCCAAGTGAGTATTTCAGCACAGTCTTTCTGGAAGCAAGGTAATACAAGCATACAGATGCAAAATGGAATGACTCAGCAGCCAAGATTCAATCAGCCTAAGGCATAGAAGCGGCATTTAGGGGAAACTGTGAATGACAGACACCAGCTCCAAATCAGAGCAAAATGATATGTCCTTAGACTGAAAAGTTTCTTGTCTTTTTTTTTTTTTTTT